AAAAAAAAAAAAAAAAACAGACAACAAATCCACCTCAGCTCTGCAAAATTTTCCAGCTTTTGGTTATTATATCCTAAGGGGAAAACAAAACAAAACAAATAAAGTATTGTATAATTTCAACTGGAAAAAGTCTAAAAATAGTCAAAGTAGGTAAAACCGAGGCCGTCATAACCATGGGAAGCATCTCTGTGAGCCAAAACCTTGAAGCATCCATTATCAGTTAATAGCCAACACAGTATGCTGCTCCTATCAAAGCTTCCTGAGATAATAATTTCTTTACTTTAAGAATAAGAAACTATTAGCAGGCAATTCTTGAAGATGAAAGCTAAGAGTTATTTGCAAAGAAATGAAGAAAAAGGCAGTAAGAAAGTCATGAAACAGAATTTTCTTTAATTTTTTTTTTAATGTTTTATTTATTTTTAAGAGAGAGAGAGACACAGAGTGTGAGTGAAGGAGAGGCAGAGAGAGGGAGACACAGAATCTGAAGCAATATCCAGGCTCTGTCAACACAGAGCTTGATGCAGGGTTTGAACCCACGAACCATGAGATCATGACCTGAGCCGAAGGTGGACGCTCAACCCACTGAGTCACCCACGTGCCCCGAGAGAATTCTCTTTAATAACACCACAAAGTTAAGTGATAAAAGATGTGACCTCATAACATTTAAGTCGGTAATTATTTCTCCAATGGGATCCCTACTGTATTGAGATTGAAAAAAAAAATAAGGAAAACATTTTTCTTCTACAAACAAACAATATGTCCTTATGTGGTCATTTGCAAATGGTTAGGAAAAAAAACTGTGTGTTCAGTTGAATAGCCAATAACTAGGATTCTCTGAAATGAAACCCACAAAATAATACCTTTACTTTATGTTACAAAATCCATTTGAAAAATTTCCTTTGCAATACTCTTAAACTTTGAAAACAGTTCTTCAAAAGTGATTACAATTAAGCCTTAAGGACATAAAGCAACTGCCTCATAACAAAGATAAAAGTCTCCTCTTGCACCACCACCAGTTGTTCCTAAACAATAAATAGGTCATATTTGTGTGCAATAAAACTGAAACTTTTCATTTTTCTAAATTTCACCTTCAGGTGACCCTCCCCCGTCAACCCTTTCTTATTCCAACCACACCAAGAATGGCAGTGAGCAGCCATCCTTTCTTCCATTACTGTGTGGAAGGGTCACACAATTCAGAGAGTAAATGTAAAGATCTGACAAGACACAAACACATGACAGTAGCATAGGGGAACCACTGCCAGACTGGCGTTTGGGCACCCCACTGAGAATAATGGTGATTGTCTTTAATCAATATGCCTACTTTCTCCTCTTAACAAAATAACTACACAAAGAGGAGTTCAATGTTTATTCTCCTTCCTTTTGTTCTCCTCCCACGTTTTTCCCCTACTACTGCTTATGACATAATGTACATGAGACACTTGGGGATAAAGCTATATCTCATCTCTTAACATTAAACAGTTTCATTCCCCTACCTCAGGTTCACCTATTTCCCTCCTCCCTTTTCAACAGAAACTTAATTACAAGCTCACATTGAAAAAAAAATCTAGGGGCGCCTGGGTGGCGCAATCGGTTAAGCGTCCGACTTCAGCCAGGTCACGATCTCGCGGTCCGTGAGTTCGAGCCCCGCGTCAGGCTCTGGGCTGATGGCTC